ACCGCTGGGATGCCCGAGGCGCCGTGCTGGGGGCAGGCAGTCCGTGGCGGGGCTGGGAGCGTTACGGTCGCCTCCGCCCCCCACCACTTTATGACTGACCGCTCCAGGGCGGCCCGCGCGCCGCCCCGCTCTCTGCTCACAGCGGGCCGTGGCGCCAGCAGGGGGCGCGCTCCATACGCGATGGCGGCAGCTCGTTCCACACCGCCTCGCTCGGCGCTGTGCGGTGAAGCGGTGGCGCGAGCTCGAGGCGGCCTCAGCTCAGCGTAGGGCGCTCCGCAGCCGCGCGCCCCGGCGCGGAGCCCCTCAGGCGCGAGGCCGTTCCGTCACGTCCCGCTGCTCCGCCCCGGGCGGCCCCGCCGGGCTCCCGCACATCGTACGGGGCGGCTCTGTCGCTTTCGGTGCCTGGAAGGCGTTCCCGAGCATCGCGGCGACGGTAGGAAGCCGTTGGAAGGGGCGTTTGGGAGCCGGTCTGTTTGTTGTGTGTTCTCACAGCGCTGCAGCGATCGCTGTGCGGCCATCAGTTGCGTCATTGCGCTGGTGTGAACCGCCCTCACACATCAGAGGTGGAATCAAGAATTATTACTAATGTGTAAGTGGGGGGGGGGGGGGAAAAAGCCCCGATCTTTTTTTTAATTGTCATGGGAAACATACTTTTATTTAGAATACACTTCTTTTGTGGTATTCACTCCCTAACCGGCGTATTTGCATCCCAGGGATCCTTAATTAGATCCCTGGTAGCAATGTTAAACACCTGTGGGTGATGCAGGAGGAGTTGATGGTTGTGCCGGGGCTCTCTGTCCCCGTTTTTCCTCCCTTTGGTGTATTTTGGCTGCTGTCTCTGCTGCCTTCTGCTTTGTGCAGCCCTGAGGGCAGCCCAGCCGTCCCGATCTTGAAGTGCAAGGATGTTGTCACCAGTGTCACTTGTTTTGAAGAGAAACTTCATCCCTGAGGTTGGAATTGGAATTTAGTTACTGAAAAACACCCATTGCTTGAAAGCTCTGGTCATCGCTGTGTAGCAGAGTCAGCATGTCCTTCCTGCTCATCCCTGGGCTGTGGCTGGCTGTTTTTGCTGCTGTGACGCTCACTGAGAACTGTAGGACATGTCTAAAATCAATTGTTTGCCACAAAGTCACGGAAAATGTATCCTGCGCTGTTGAGAGGCTTCCTTGTTGCATACGAAATAATTAAAAAGCCTAAGACTAGTGTGATTTGGGTCTAATCTATCTTACTGAATTAATTTTAATTACTTATTACAGAAAAGCCAGTAGAGACTTGATGAGTGTAAGCCAGGGAAAAACCATGCTTGTCTCTGCTGCACGGCTGTACTATGTTAAGCTATATGGAGCCATTTAACAAATGTTCAAGTTAATCAAAAAAGGTTTTTTTAATTTGCTTAAACATTACACATGTAATGGCAGGCTTTGTGGAGTTGGATATACCTTACAGCCCTATATAACTGTATTTTTTAATGTCTTATGAAGTGGGAATGTAAAAGATGCTTGTTTGCCCCACATGGGAGCCTGTGGATTTCTGGTGTGTCTCTGTGATGGTTGAAACAGCTGGCAGTGTTTAATGAATCGTATCTCCATGTATTTACAAATAAAGATTTCAGAAATCACTTTCTGATAATGATGCTGTACGTGCCTCCAAAAATGTGTTCATGTGACAAAGACTGTGCATAGTTTGGTAGAAAAACGATGTCCGAGTAATAGCGCTTGGCTTTCAATTCCTTGTTCCGCAGTAAGCATCCCGGCATTCGTGTTTATTTTTACATTTCCTTTTGCTATTGTTTCCAAGCTCCAGGGCACGGCTTCGTGAGGAAGTAGAGGAGGCAGCAGCTTTCCTGTTGCGCTCTGCGGTCACTGGGTGGTGCTGTTTCTCCTCTCGATTTGCAAATCGCTCCTTGTAACAGTTCTTACGGATGTTTTGAGAAGCAAAAGGATTGGACTTGTGGGCTCCTTTTTGAGACTGTTTTTCTGAGACTGTGCAGTATATATACGTATTTCGCTCAAAGAAAGCTAGTGCTTCAGAGAAAGTGTGCAGGCTTCCCAAGTTCTGTAGTTATGAACTGTGTTGCACAGGTGTAGCTGCCTTAGCGTGGTGGAAAGTGTTTTCTTGCTTCTCAAGGGGCAGCCAAGGAGAGACAGGTTAAGAATAGAACAATTTCATAGGCTTCAGAAAAAATCATGAATAAAGCTGCACAGTAAGTCAGCTATGGCTCTGGGTTGGAACACATGCAGACCGTGAGCCTCTGGGAAGGTGAGAAAGGCTTTACATTAAGTGCTCTGCAGCCACCATGCAGGTAGCTGCTCTGGGAGCTGCTCGGTGCCCCAAGGCTTTCATGCCACCAGCTGCTTGTTAATTTGTGCTTACCTGTTAGGAGCCAGCCCTGTAATGGCCACTCACGTTCAATAAGTGGAAAGCAGAGCCTGGTGCTTGATGCCTGTAGGCTGATGGGCCCCATGGCAGGCTGTGGTTCTTCCCCAAGCCCTAGAGCTGAGCATGGAGGGATGGGCTGTGCTGCAGAGCCTTCTCTTGGCTTCTGCTGGGCTCCATCAAAGGGTGGGCAATTCACATTGTTTAATGAGTCTATGTGACATCTTTTGAAATTTGGATCGTATAAATATGGCCCCGTTTAAAGAAGTCTGCAGGATAGAGTGCTCTCCAGTTTACATTTTCTAGTAATGAACATAAATGATGGTCTTGTTTTAAAGCAGAAGACAAACCAAGGAAAAATGAAGAAAAAGTGACATTAGGATAGTCCTTGCAGGTTAATAATGGGATCTCACAGTGGCTTTTTGAAAGCCTGTGTCCCTGGAATAATCCTGGTGAAACCCCTGCTGTTCCCAGGTTCCTGCTGCACGTACCAGACATTACCACATCCATCACTCAGCCCTGCTGGGAGGAGGGCTTGTGCTGTCATGGAGCTTGTGGAAGAAATGGCATTTCCCCTTTGCTTCTTGCAAAGCACAGGAGGGTTTGTGTCGCCAAGGCTCTCTCACTGCATGTGATATTTTTGCAAAGCACAGGAGAAAAGCATTATCTTGTCTGTTGCCTTGACGTTTGCAGATTATGCATTACTGAACGTATTACTCTCAGCTTGCCTTGGTGTCTTTGAAATCTACTGGTCAGTTTCCACAGAATCGGGTGAATGGTTGAGGCTGCACAAGATTCCTGAGCAGCCGGGGCAGAAAAGATCCTGTCAGTATTGCCCAGCGAGGGAGGAGCGCTGCGTTGTCTGATTGATGCACTCTGAGGGGCTGCGTGCTATGGGACTCTGGGACATTGGAAAAGCTGTTTCCATTGGAACGATGTGCCTTTCACTTCACTGTCCCCAGCAGTTCAATGCCAGCCATCTCGTGTGAAGAAGTCTGGTTGCTTACCTTCCTGCTGCTGAGTTTAATTATTTTTATAATTTCTTGGCAGGTTTTCTTGCATCCTCACAATGAAGGTGGCACGGTGCCATGTGCTGTTATCCTGGTCCTCGTGGGGACTTGCTGCTCCTGCTGCAGAGTGACTTCCTTTTAGCCCACCAGCATCCCAGATAATGTCCAATATAATGTTGTCTGTCTACACAGAGAGAACAACTTGTGCCTTGTTGAATTTAGGGGGAAAAGAATCAGTCTTTGTTTATAACTCCACTTGTGCAAAGTGGTTGTTAGAAGTACACAGCTGATACCTCATGGATACCACACATCTGTGTTGCAGCTTTCTGCAGTGATAAATGCTTAAATGTGAAGCTTGCATGTTTAGCAATGAACAATGGATTTAAAGTTGAAGGCTAACTGTTAAATGAGATTTAACTCATTGATCTTGCTATAAAATTAATCAAAATGCTATTTTACTTGAACCCAGAAAGCTTCGTAATAGTAAAAGAGCACTATTTTCTACCAGTGCCTTAGCTGCAGTTAAGAAGCTTTGTTGTTGTTGTTGTTGTTGTTTTAAGCTCTTATATTTAATGAGCTTTTTTTAGCAATGCAAATTTGCTTGCCTGAAGTAAATCCTTCAGATCTGATTTACACACGTGAGATACGATCCATATAGAACTTCTTCTAACCTAATGCGGCCGGAGCAACTTTTGGAATGAGCTTAGTTGTGCAAGGTGTGCCATAGCACTACACTGTTCGTAGTGGATGAAATGTAACAGTAAGATGTTATGATCCTCGTGTTGGCAGCTTTTAGTAGAAAAGTCCTGGGCTTTGTCTGCCAGCTGGAACCAAGCAGTTAGAAGCTGACATTAGGCTGATAGTAGCTGCTCACGTGCAACTTTTCCTTACAGTGAGCATATATTTCTTGGTTGTGTGGGCTGAGGTTCTTCACATGTCAAATTCAGGAGGTGTTCTGTAAGCACCTGCTGCTAGGCTGGATAAACCTTGTTCTTCTGCACTCGATGCAATTTGCCATCACCTTCAGCAGAAGCATATTTCTCACTTTCAAAAACGCACAGTGAGACTTGGGAGTCCTTATCTTATGAAATTTGAGGAGATAATTTTAATTACCTTCTAATAATTAAATTACTAAATTCAGAAAACCAAATCAGCAAAACGATCTACAATATAATTGGATTTGTTGTATGTACTCCAAAATCAGTCAAGATTTCATGATTAAATAGGAAGTAGCATGCTAAAAAGCAGCAGCAATGGCAGGATCTCTCACATCATTCTTATACATGCCACAAATAAGAGCAGGATATAAAGGATATAAATGCCCTTTTAAATATCTTGTTTGTGTTCATGTGCTTTTCCTAAATTGCCCAAAGACCAAAACACTGATCTAGCAGTAAAGAGTCACATACCTTGCTCAGTGTCTTCAAGTTTGAATACTTGTGGGAAAGTCTTTGCTAAACAAACCATAAAACTGGAGTTTAGAATTAACTATAGAATCAGTTAAAAGACCCAGACTCAGTAAGCAGCCAGCATGAAGTAACTATGGGAAGGAATTTAGCCCTCAGCCATGTTCACTGATCAGATCTCCCTGGAAAAGGAGAACAAAGGCTCCAGTAGAAGTTTGGGCTGGTACATTTGTAGAATACTCTGAGCTTATCGTTAGCCAAGAGCAAGGGAATCCACTCCACAAGAGAACGCATCATGTTCCACTAGTGCAGAATCAGTCAGTGCTATGAAAGAAGCGGGGCATCTGAGACAGAGCACAGCATCATAGTTTGGAAATAGCTTCTTCCTTCTGGTGCCTGCCTTGTGTGTAGGTGACCTCTCGGTTCTCTTCTTTTTTGCAGCTGAAACAGGACAATTACATTAAATATTTGTAATTGCAACAAAGGAAAAGCACTATTAGTTATTTTAAAAGTGCCATTACTCAAGCATGAAGTTATTTTTCTCTGAACTGGTGCAAATGCCAGAGTATCTCATCGTTACATAGGTTTCAGGAGAGTACATCCTGTGTGCTAAAGTCAATGCCAATCACAAAGTTATTGCAGGACGAGGGGAAATGGTTTTAAGTTGAGGGAGGGGAGATTTAGATTGGATGTCGGGGGGAAGTTCTTTACAGAGAGAAGGGTGAGGTGCTGGAACAGCTGCCCAGAGAGGCTGTGGATGCCCCGTCCATCCCTGGAGGTGTTCAAGGCCAGGTTGGATGGGGCCCTGGGCAGCCTGGGCTGGTATTAAATGGGGAGGTTGGTGGCCCTGCGTGTGGCAGGGGGTTGGAGCTTCGTGATCCTTGAGGTCCCTTCCATCCCTGGCCATTCTGTGGTTCTGTGATACGAGCAGGCTGTAGACAAGTTTGTCACGTCAGCCTTTTTTCCCAGAATTTGGCCTTTTTTCCCTAAATGGCCTCTTGTCAGTGCAGATTTTTTCCCCTTAGATAGTGTGACCTTTGGGAGAGACTGTCGCTAAAATTATTCTCTCTTGTTTCACTTCTTGTTCTTGCATGAAAAAAGGCAATTGGAGTGGCGGAAAAGCTGCATGTTTGTTGTCTAACCCATGTATGTGTCCTGTTTAGTTTGGAAAGGGACTCTCATTTCATAACTGTTTGTGGGAATAGCTAAACTGACGTGTTTTTGCCTTCTCACATATTTTTTCCTATTTCTTGTCTTTGTATCTCTGACAAGCATTGCTACAGTAGTTAACTATGGCACTGTCAGTACAATGAACTGTGGTGCTATTTATCACAGAAATCAACCATTCCTCCAGTGGAAGCAAATCCCTTCGGTAGATCCTTCTTAGCCACATAAACATTTTTTACTGGCGATGAAACAGAACTACTTTGAAGTGTATGATACTGAAGAAATAACATCTACTGTGGTTAAAAGTCTCAAGGGAGGAATTAATGTACCTTAAAGATCAAATGTTACCACTTTAAAAATCATCCTGGTTTTCAGACACAGAAGCATTTCTCTGTATTAGAGAAAAAAAAGTTGGTTTGACTTGCTTTCCTGTGCTATGACAGCAGAACATCTTACCTTTTCCTCCTGCATAGGCAACAAGCTACTAGAAGGAAGATGAGAACTCCCATAATGCAGGCTATCACAACAGAAACAAGAACACCTAGAAGAAAAGGGGAATCATACAAAGCACTTGAATTCATTTACCTGGGAGGAAAATGCTGATCGCTAATCTGTCATAACGCTTTCTTCCCATATCTGCAACTTTCCTGCCATGTTGTACCCACTGCCACTTGTATCACTTTTGCAGTCGTGGAAGGGATAAGTTTGCACAGGTGTGTATCAGAAAGTCCCAATCCCACAGCTGAGTCCATAGTCAGGATGTCAAATCAGATGCCTGCTGCAGTCACAACGCCAACATGCAGCCAAAGGCACAGCAGATGTGTTTGGCTTCCTGGGCACAGGCTGCCCAGGGAAGCTGTGCGTGTCCCATTGTGGAGGCATTCAAGGCTGGGCTGAAAGGAGCCGTGGGCAGGCCTGATCTGTGGGTGGCAACAGGCCCACAGAAGGGGGTTGGAACTCGGTAATCTTTAAGGTCCCTTCCATTCCAAATCATGATGTGATTCTGTGATTTGATGCTGCAACGTATCGGCATCAGCAAAAATGAAGAGCTAAACTCAGGAAACAAAGGATGTTAGATTTGATGCCTGTTGTTTTTTCATGGCAGGACACTATTGAATGTGAGCAGCTGAAGAGTGATGTGCTTTGTCTTTGATAACATTGATTAAAGGCACCTAAAAAGGTAAGAATGAAATCCAGATTGCAGTGTGAACAACTGAATGATCTCATGTTTGTATTGAGATGTTAAGCACTATCGCTATAATCTCGCTTTTGATAAAGATGTAATTTTTACAGTAGAAGTATTTTTGCTCTTTTGGCTGACCCAAAGACCATGAAGGTGAGTATTATTCACATTTTCATATTTCATTCACATACTATTTTTTGTTTTATGAAATTGTCTCTAAGTAAAGGCAAGTTTTGCTACAGTGAAAGTACATCACATGGGCAGAAAAATGTAACACCAAATAGAAAATTACAGAACAAAAGCTTGTAGTTTAAAGGGGAGAGGTAGGGAAAACTCAAACTTTGTATTTTAGATTTCTGTTTGATGAGGATATCTTAGGGAATTCAGATAGAAAGCTTTTTAACAACACTACACACCTGTTCCTGTTTAATTTGTGAGCACTGCAAGGTTTGAGTCTCTAGAGGTTCCTTCCAACCCCTGCAATTCTGTGATTGCTGTAATAAATCTCAGCTGTGTGTGTGGAGCTGATTTTATTGGAACAGGTTCCTAACAGGCAAAATACATTTTAAGCATGTTTGAGTTTTGGTGAGTGATCCTCTAGGATTTGAGGCGTTTTGAACTTTAGTGCTTATTCATGGTGAGCATGAGTTTAGATTTTAGTCATTGGCATCCAAACTTGGATGATCTAATACTTCAGTAATTTGAATTTGGGACACAAAGCACAGTTCAGTGGCTCCATTGTGTGGCATGGGCAACTCTGATGAAGATAAGCAGCCCTCAGACTTGACACTGCAAAGGCAGAAACGTTGCTCCGAAGGAATGCTTTTAGGTTGAGGCCTGGAGTGTGCACAACAGAACTTCTTTCACAGATTTCTGTAGTTGTCCCAAGCCATGTTTCAGTGAATGGCCTCTCCTTCCCTTTTCAACAAGAGTGCTCTGTTCCTGCCTCTGGTACCTCTGGCAACCAGCAGCCAGGTGCACCTCAGCTGTGCTTTGGGGGAAAGGTTTTTTTTTTTTCCTTTTTAAGTTAAGGGACTGCACCTGTGAGGGAGCTTTTATGGCTGGATTAGGTGGAATGTGAGATTACAGGGGACTATGAATGCCTCTCTTGCAGTGGGTAGAACACTTTTGCTGTGGTTCACTGGTGGCCAATGAGCCTCTGTAATTAAGTGTACTTAAACTGAATGGGGTTTCTATTAAATTAGCACTGAGAAATGCCTTCTGTAGCCATAGAGACCAGTTCTTGGGTGAGATCAATGGGGTGGGCAATAACCCATACAACTCAGCCCTAGCAAGTTATGCCAACGTTAAGGAAAAACTGAAAATGCTTTTATAGCAGGTGTCACCTCTGCATGGGAAGCAAACAGTGGAGCTTAGTAGAGGAAGAGCCAAATATTGTTTTTGGCTTTGGCACTGGTTCACAGCAGCAATTTCAAAAATGTCAAATTTGATCCTCTAGATGGACATAATAATGCTTATCCCATTTCTGTGAAGTGTTTAGATCCCCAGATTAAAACCATGCTGTCTGATTTTGTATTGAGTTACTGAGATCACAGATTGTAACTCATTACTTTAAGAATTGAGCGTGATTTACAGAGAGAGAGTAGACAGGTGCAGAAAATTCAGCTTAAGTCCTAGATGGAAAACAGCATTTCTCATCCCTGACTGTTGTGAATCATGTTAGCAAACCAGCAACATATGCTTGCTTACTTTCATGAATTGAGAGGAGAGAAAAAGTGGCAGTTGGATTACCTACAATTCTGAGTTTTAGCACATGGTAGCTGCTCATTCCAGAACTCCTGTTATTAAAGTATTTCTGCTTAAACATGTCTTCAGTGAAGTGTGCATGGATTTAAGTTAAGTTCCTTATTGTCCAAGCTTACTTGGTTTCCCTCTCTCCCCAGACTTTGGTAATTAAAGCTCTAGCAGTTTTGGGACATTCAGTCCTAGAGAAGTGCAAAAAAACAGAAGTCAGTTATTTTTGAGATTCCTGTCGTGTTTGTTTGCATCACGTACTGCAATTTGCTCTGCTTTGTGTATCAGAGGTAATCATGCTATGAGTAGGCCTGTCCAGAGCCAGTTAGTTGCAGGGCATGCTTCATACCCTGCATGTGACAGCAGAAGGATGTCATGGGCTTCTGTTATGTTACTGGATCATACAATATACAGTGTTACAAGTTATTTTTACTTATCAAATTTGAGTTTCTCTTGAGGACCTTTTCCAATTCTCTTTAATTACCCCAGAACAGTCTCCCTGAAATGCAAAGCTGTGATTCCTTCTCAACTTGTTGTCTGCACAAAAGTAGGCCTGATATTACTGGGAACCAGAGATGTAACTGAGGAGAGAAGGCCAGCTCAGTTAAGCTGGCTGAAAGCATTCAGCTGTAGGGAGCTATTTAGTGTCTGGAGTGACAGCAGATAGCTCTGCTAAACAGGAGGAGGCCGAACAGTCCACCTCTCTTCATCTCCTTCCCTTTGATTGGGGTCAGAAGGGTTGCTTGGTGTGGCTTGTCTGATAGCTGCTGTGAGACAGAACTTTGTATACACTCTTTGAATGCCATCACTCTTACATAGTTACCCATGCAGAAGGGGAAAAAAAAACAACAACAAAAAGAAAGCTATCTGTAGGAGAGTGGGCCTCCGATACTTCTGTGCTGGTACAGTGCAACAGGACTGCCACATCCATGCTTCCAGCTTACCCAAATGACTGTGTGCAATTTCTTTGCATAGAATTGTTTGTACAGCTTACCTTCACGGAAGGAGATAAAAACAAGTCTTTCACGAAACTCCTGAACGTTTCGGAAGTTATTGACCATTTCCAGGGGTTCTGGGTCATCACTCTCTGTGCAGTACATGGCTGTTTCCAGTGCCAGCAGCTATAAAGGAAAGCACACTGTTCAGCTTCCAGAAGCAGAAAAGACGATGCTGGTGTATCACTGACGGTGTCTGTTGGAACGTACAGGCATAGTCAAACAGAAAGGGGTACATGAAATAATGCTTGGAAGTCTTACATGGCCTGTGAGCCCAAATAGAGAGTAATGTGTAAACAGTGGTGACATCTCTGGAACCCCTACCTGTATGTGTGTTTTATATACCAAAAAAATAAAGGCTGGTTAGTAATTAACTGACAGGAAAATTGGATGGGAGGAAATGTGGTGGTCCTTTGCAGCACAGACTAACTCCTAAGCAGTGCTATTTCATGAAGGAGCTCACCAAAGAACTCGTGCTTTGGTAAAACAATCTGGTACAGTGGATGAAATTAATAATTGACTCTCACCACAGGGAGAACATGGGAATTAAATCTCATATTAAAGGTGGTAATAACATTTTTAGTAACATTTTTTCCTTGTGTTTATAATTAGATGAATTGGTAGATAGTGATTACAAGCTTATGTAATTTGTCAGTGTCCACTTGAAAACAAAAGCTAGGTGAGAACAAAGCTTAGATGAGAGCAAAAGCCTTAAGTTAGAGAAAAGTCTGGGGATTCAGGCTTGACGAATTATACATCACAAGCTTTTTAGAAACAGTGACATCTACTCAATCTATCATGTCTAAGATAGTCATGATCAGAGCACAGGGGAACTTAGAGTTTGGAGTTCAGACATGAAGCCTTGGCAAAAACGATCTGGCAGTGACTTGTGGAAAGACTCTCAGCAGGGAGCAAGCACATGGTAAAAAGAAATGAATCTCACTTCAATGTGATTCTTCAAGCTGTTGCTATACCAATTGCTATTCAATTGGCTGCCCATCAGTTTGGTCAACTGCAGATGGGTTAACTCTACAGTGAATAGGGTATTGATTGAAGTCAGTTCTGTGACGTGCATCCCACCTGAAAGATTTTAGCAACAGTCACTTTCCAGTTCAATAAGAAAGTAAGATAAATCCAGGAGAACAAATCCAGAATCCATTTACTGCTCCTTAACAAACATCAATCAGGACAACTCGTGTTGTATTTAAACTTGCCTGCTCTTGTGAAATTTTAACGGGGTGCCGGAAGACTGTCCAGAGAACGCTGGGGTAGCAAGGAGGAGTTGTCAGGGATCCTTCATAGCGATAATACTCAGCTGGTCTGTCAGGAAGCAATTCCTGAACGTTGAAACCAGGGACATGGACCATCTGATCTAAAACAGAGGATTTAACAGTGTTAAATGCTGCATCATTACCGTGTGCATGGTATACTAGTGCTGTGATTCTGCTCTGCAGTAAGCAGGGTGCTTCGTCTGATCTCTAGGAAAAGAAAAATATTTTTAAGTGGAGATGATCCCGGTTTGACATAGGAAACCCCAAAGTCTGCATTTCCTATATACAGATCTTGTCATAGATACCAAATCAGAATTTTGTACAATAACCTGTAGCCATATTAACCAAACAACAGCTGGTGCAGGAAATAAGGCTCCCATGGCTGTGTGTATCTTGCTATACACTCTCCAGAGTAATGCACTGAATATTCAAAGTGTCTCATTTTATGACTGCTTTGCCTGGGATTGCAGGACTGTTTCTGCAGCTGGTTCAGCCTGTCACAGGGTACCTATCTGGTACCTGTCTGATACTTCAGAACAGTCACTCACCCTTATATTTCACATTCCGGAAGTGCCTGAAGATCTTTTCATACGATGGGTTGAAGGGTCCAATCTGTAATGAACAGACTGTTAACAACTGTGTAGGTCCTTGTGCTTTTGCACACAGCAGCAAGCAGTATTTGATGAACTCTGCCCTAAGGAAACTGAGTATGCTGTCCAGATTTAAATAGAATTACTCTTTGCAACTGAAATATTACATACCAGTCCCAATAAAACTCTTAGTCTGTCTGTGGCTGTTAAAGGTGCTTTGTTACACTCAGGTCTTAACTGCAGCTTAGTCCTTTTGCACACACTTGAAAGACTGAGTTGCTCTGCCTGTTCGGCCTGCAGCACAAAGGAGGAGCAGCCATTTCCTCTGAGAACATCAATAGACAGAAGTTCTCAACTGACATGCTGCCCAGCTCATCTGCTGCTTTCTGGTCCAAGCCACATCTTTCCACCCACAGATGTTCCTCAGTCTACTGCTCCTCATAGACCACGAAGATGAAGAATGAGCTGTTGGGTAATGCAGGGCCACTGGCAGGAGCAGTAACTCAACTAGCAAGACCATGTGTTTTAACTGCTACCAACAGCTTTTTGGTTTAATAATCAGTGTCTTATGAATTCTTGGGTGCTTAGCAACTCCTCTGACAGCAGACATGTTAAACTCTTGTCCTTAGCTGAACTGTAAAAGCCACCGGTTTCCTGAAAGGTTTTCAAAGACCTAATCACCAGACTTAACAACATTCCCTTATTGGATTTTATACATCATTATCTGGGGGAAAAAAATCATAATCCTCTGCATAATATACAGTACTCTGAAGTTTTTCACAGCTGCAGCTTCCAAATGAACTGAAATGTAACACAGTTATTGACAAATTCTCAGAACTAGGAAGTGAGGTGGGATGAACTAGAGGTTGGTCTGTGGACATCGTCACTTTTTCAGTGAAGTGTAGAAGTAGACTTTGAGTGAAGGGTTTTTTATGCTGCAGAAAATTAAAAATTGTCTTGATAGTTAAGCTTATTCTATTAATTAAGACTTTTAATTCTCAAGAAAATATAGATTTATATATATATATATACAAGCTTGTCAGAATTGTTTTGTAGCATCATGATTACCTTTAATTGCCTATATGTGTGGCCTCAGAGGGGAATAAGGAAACTTGTCCTGTCATCTAAAAAAAGCACTGAATTTACTTGGTACCTGTTTACGTAAATGTTACTTTAAAGCTCACTAATGACTTAATTATTGAAAGAATGTTAAAAACAAAAACAAGAAAACAAACTGCACCCCCAGTCTTGTGTCCTACCTCAAGAAGAATAGCCAAAACTGCCAGTCCATTTGCTTTGTCCATTGCTGCTGTTATATCTGGATATTTCTCAGAGTTATAATGTACAATATGCACCTACAGAGAAGGAGATATGTTTTCATGATAATGCTGTGGGCATGGTAATGTTTTTATTTAGCAACTGAAAAAGATGAGTGCAGCCATCTCAGGCTAACAGCAGTAGAACAGCATTCTTCAGTGCTTTTTGGGCATAGTGGTGAGATCCTTTCTGGAGAAAAGCAAAAGGTTTGAAATACCCCTTCCCAGCTTCTCTCTGGCTGGTATCCCTCCTGTCTACGTGCCTGGGGAGCAAGAAGAATGATTGTTTCCTCTTCAAGGCATCTTGTTTGTAATACTAGCATTGGTAAATGATTCTGAAAAAAACAGTATTTCATTTGATTGTTTTGCAGCAAATATCCAATTGGTACTGCATTCCAAAATCTATTCCCAAATCCATAATTCAGGATTGGGAAAGATAATAAGTAGTTCTTCAATGGAGCAAAAAGTGTGAATAAAGATAGAAGAAGAGCATTTGAAGACATTGTTCAAACCCAGCCAAGCAGTCTTGTGCAGCTAAAAGGTTACAGAGAAACCAAGCAATCTGCTTGGAGTTACTTAAGAGGCCCAGTGCCAGCCCTGAGTTTAGAATATAACTCCCTGACTTGTAGTACTTTGGAGCCCACCCTGTTTGTGGTTCAAAAGCATATTTTAATTATACACTCAGATCATAAATACTCGGATTAGAACCTTGCAGCCTTTTCAGTCATACACCAAAGTAAAGATCCCATTTGAGACTGTGTCCGGCCTCCTTTATCTCGCTCATTGATTTGAGCATGTCTTACCTCTGCTGCAAAGTGCTTCCCGCTGACTGTGTGCTCTGAGCCTTCCGACTTGTTTCTGTTTCCCCAGTGCAGGTGAAGTTGAGATGCAGTGTATTCAAAAGGGAGGTTTCTGATGTGCATGGTGGGTGACAGATGCATTTTCACTGTAAGCAGACCGAAGGCAGGTGGGGGCAAATGATACCACAGCTTTCAAGGAGGGGGCAAATAAAACTACGACAGCTAAACATAATACACAGGGAAAGAACAAGGCAGAATAGCTACATTTTTAACTTGGAATCCATCCCAGTCTGTCGATAGGAGCTAAACACTTGTTTGTCATTAACTCTTCCTAAGCAATTCAGAAGAATTTAGAATATTCCTTTTTCTGCTTTCTTTAACTAAATGAACTGAATGTGGGAATTGTTGCTAATTATTGCTCTGTCCTCCTTGAAGAATGCAAAATTATCTCAGCTTTATTAAAGAGAAAGTTATCAAAGTATTGAAGGAAAACTTAGGCTCATGTGCCTTCTCCAGTTCCCCTTGTAATGCTTAAAATGTCTTAATAAATTAATATTTCATGGTATTTTTGAAATCTTGTTATATTGAACTCCTCTGTCTGTTAATCCTCTCTAAGCAGCCTGTGACAGCACCAAGTAAACTACTGATCTCTCCCTCCCTCCCCCTTCCTCAGTCAAACCCAGAGTGCTGCTGTCAAGCAGCAAGATACCTCTTGACCTAAAGTGTTAGTATTTCCTCTTTCAGCATGATGGAATGAGTTTTTTTGTATATTTGCTAATGCTGCTCAGCATGGAGAACAGGCTAGTTTATATTTTGTGTATAAATTACAGTAGAAAGGGAATTGAGATGTTCTCTATTGTCACTGATTACTGAGAAATTGGGTACTTCATTGAACAATGATTTGTATAAAGAAAATATCATCTGCTTTGAACTGGCTTCTAGTGAGAATATAATTTGTTTCTGACTTGTCCCAGATTTGCTGGGAAAGCAAGGCTCAAAACTCATGAAGGAGCAGCTGCAAACATTTTCTGTTAGCTAAAAAGCATTTCTTGAGGTCTGCTGTTCTGTCTAGCTGAAGTAGGTAATTGCATCTGGCTTAACTGGCAGTGAAGTGCCTTAGCTGTGTGTAGGACTGTCACATCAGTCACTTCTAAGTACCCTACTGATTTCTTCTCTAGCCATGAGAGAAGATAACAGCAGATGCTGTAATGATCACTCTAACAAAGAGTTGATTTTCCATTGAACCAACGATTGGTCTTTACCTGAAGAATGTGTTTGTGATGCTGTACACAGCAGCTTTACCTCACTGAAAGCATGAGGAAAAAATGAGAAGTGCATTGCGAGCACATTTTAACAGAGCATGCCAGAGAAGAGCAGAGGCAAAGGCTGCAGAGGTTCTTTTGATGCTTGTAGGATACAAGAAGTGCCTTATACGTGTCCTTATATTTACATGTCCTCAAGTGTCTCATGAAGGGAAAAAATGATGGGACAAACTTAACTGTCACTGCACGTAGTGTTGATACGGTAGATATTGCAGATCTTTATGTGACTGCATCCTGTCTGCTTTTTACTTTGTGTGCTGATGCTTTTAATACAGCCAGGCAGAGCATGTTTGTAAGCTGTTTCTAATTATTTTTCTGTTCTTTTATCTATTTGTCTTATCCTGCGCTACAGGAGGTTTCTACCTTAAGTCAAAGGAACAGAATAGTGCTCCTTTGTTCTTTTCCCTCCATGTAACTCAACTGAGCTGCTTTGATTAGAATATCAGAGATAACTGCACTCATATTTTATCAATTTCTCTCTTTCTAATATAATCACCAAGTCTGTTTCAGAGCACTTCAGCCAAAGTAGGAAGAAAAGCTTTCAAAGGCAAGAAATTGTTTTTGACATGCCTATTATTTATTGAAGAAAACCACAGTTTTTCAGTTCTGCTTGCAGCAAATCCATCTGTGCTTTGTACAATCCCAAGTTTCCCTACTGTGTTCTCTAGATATGCATATGCTGATGAAGAGGCATCATAGCTTAACTTCAAATGATAATCAAAGTAATTTGCCCATAAAATACAAGATTACAAACTCCAGCAACTTTCCTACATAATTGTTTGCTGTCATTGAGCTCCCTTACCTGAGTGCCCATTATTAGTCAGTGTGAACTGGTCAGTGGAAGACACATTATAGCCTATGAATTCTAAAGGTGAGAGATTAGAATCATATTGGAGAATATCTTTGTGAAAATCTATTGGTGATTGAAATACTCCTCCACAAAATGGATATTTCTTCGGCCAGGTGTTCTCTCCATCAGGACCTACATAAAGTGACAAAATTGACATTGGTCAGCCTTAACTCTGTCCAGGTAGCACATGCCTTTCCCTCCCCCAGACTGATTCAACTATCATTCAGAAGTTGGAATGTTCAGAAGTTTCACCCTTTGCTGAATTTTGAAGACTTTTTTTTAATTCAGCTTTTCTCAATTCTTGTTTCCAGGATGCCACTTAATTGAAAAGGGCCTTATTATCATAGTAAGATGCATTTGCTGGCGGAGGCAGTGCCAGCAGAGATCTCACCTAGAGACTGTTCACCATCCCTTGATTTTGGACAGCCTTGGCGGCCGTTTTATCTCACCCTGCTGGGGGCAGCTCAGTGGATTAGGCCTATGGTAACAGCACCGCAGCCAAACGCAGTGCTTCTGATCCTCTAATGGTGGTGTTGTGTCTCCTTGAAGTCCTCACGCACCAGTGAAACTGTATCTATGCCAGCAATATTTACTGATGTGAATTACTTTTCCCTATAAAACTTACAGGCGTGTGCATGTTAATGTGGCTATTCCTGCATTCTGAAGAGAATTTCTGACGGAAGTGACTTCATGTTGACAGAGGAAAGCTTCCATATTTTCCATCAAACAGAAAGCCAGATCCCTGTAAACCTCTCCTTATCATACAAACCATTGCGCTCCATCTCGCAATGTTACCTACATCACAGTAAAAAGCTAATTTGCAGAGGTGTTATGGTAATTTGACCTGTAATAACTTGATCAGACTCTTGCAGAATTTTTTCCTCACAGCCTTTTGCCCTAGGCAGTCTCTACAAAGAATAGATAACATCAAGACATTGTTGGTCTATTTAATTACGTATTAATAGCAAGCAGCTGTTCACAAGCTCTAAGCTGGGACTTTTTGGGTTTAAATACCAGAAGAAGTGCTTGTAACTTTCGTTTCTCTCTAATACTTGAAGATTCATTGATTCTTTCTAAAGCAGGAAGATCTCTTGGGGTCACACAGACTGATCTGGTAACCCAGGCCATTGGACCTCCTTGGATCAATTATAACTTTAAAGAGGCTATATTTTGAGGGGAAAAAAAAGAAAAAAGTATTTCTTTAACTGTTGCAGATAAGAGATACTTCATTCTTGCCCAATGGATAGTTGCTCTCCGTGGAAGCTTGCTTGTCACAATGAATTTGTCTAGATTTGACTTCATTTAGATAGCAGCTGCTTTAAGTCTTTTGCTTGGAAACTGAAGAGCCTGCTGTGAGCATGCTTGTGTTCATCTGGAAGTACTCACAGAGGATGCTGTTTCTTGCTTCTCTTAAAGTAAATAGATTTAGTTCCTTGATTTTTTTTTCTTTTCCAAGCCCAAAATAGCACTTGTGACTTTATCATCTCACTAGGATGTTACAGCAGATGGCCCTTAAAGGATGACAGTGCTTGTGGGACTTGCACATTGGCTGACCAACAGAAGAAGAAAGTGGGTCTACGAGGCGCCCGTGTTACCAACAGTCTTTTGCTCTGATGATCAGTGTATATTCATGTTGCTCGAGGTTCTCACAGAAGGTCCAAGTTCTCTTAATCTGTAGTCAATTAAGTAGTAAAATGCACTGGGTCAGTAGCACAGGGAATGTCTGTGGTATTTTGCAGTCACGCAGAGCACTCTGCCCCTGTTTTCAGCCAGCTGGAAGCTGTACAGCTGCAGTTGGCCCAGGGCTGAGTCAATAGTGAAGGCTGAGAGTCCAGGCTACGTGCCACAGCAACATGACCACATGGTTTCCATTTTGCTCAGAGCGCAGTCTGAACTCAGTCTACCTTCACACAGCCTGTACGTGTAGATCTTTTGTGTGTGTGTGCAGTGGGAAGTTAGAGGAATTGCAGAATCCAAAGTGAAGCACAGATCTCCAGTTCTATCCATTGGCACCTGAATTTCTCCTCCACCCTCAACCTTGTACCTTGACCCTCAATCTTGAGATCAGCCTGCACTGACTACAGTGGCCTGACTTCCTTTGTTTTACTGCTGACTTGATTTTACTGGGGAGCATTGCAAGCTTTTACAGGGGTAAAGTTAAAAACTTTAAGGAAGGTGAAGGCTGCCATAACGACTCAGTAGGAGATTACGGTGGATAATTTCTGGCTTTGACTGCAGTCCTTCCAATTGCCATTCTTCTCTGTGCAGATCAACATTCCTTTTTTCTGGAAAAGAAACTTTCTGTGCATTTCAATTGCTATTTTGATTTTTTTGAAGTTGCTGGTATACGTTTTCTAAATAGATTAAAAAAAAACAGCAGTTTAAGGAAAAAATAGCTACGTTAGAAACAGGATTGCAGTGTCAAAGCACTTAGCTGGAAGGCATGAGGCTGTGTACTGTATCAGGAACACAGTCTGAATAATACACTGGTACCAAAATTCCCCCAAATTCCTGCAGAAGTAACTAATTTGAACATGCCCTGGGAAGAAGGGCAGAACTTCTCCTTTGCTGGTAGTAAAAGAAGCGTTGTTTTCCTTACTAACCAGCACAGTTAGGCTCATCTGCTTCCTGCTGGCAAGGTGAAAACCCAAGCTTCTTTTATTCAAAGTATGTTGAGCAATTTTTGCTAAAGGAGAATATGAGATCTGTATACATATGCTGATGGTTACGGTAATACCTAAAGACATGTCAGCTGGCAATTTTCTCTCACACATTGTGGTGATCTGGAGCGCAGGCAAAGCGAGCAGTTGTCAGCAGCAAGTTAAATCACAGAGATTCCAGGAGTTATTGGCTGCTCCATGGGTTTATGAAGAAGCATTTTTTGCTGAAATTCTCAGTACAGGCTGCTTCTCTGTGAGCATGTGGTGTGTGAAACACAGCTCTGAATGGGGAAATTCTGGCCAGAGGATTTGTTCACTTAAAATAAGATTTCTAGTTAATTCTAGTCTCTAGTTAATTAATGCACAAATTAGTACTTACCAATATAGGACCATTTTGACCCTGTTTAAAAACAAACAAAATATTAGTGTGAATCTTTGAAATTGAGCTTACACTGTGAATTAAAGAAAGAAATCGCCCCTTGAATCCATGTACTGAAACTCACTTTCATCTGACTTTCTAGGTCCAGATGTTGAGCAAAACAAAGAAGTTTTCAAAGGCTATGAGCCCTTCCCAACCACATTACGACTAGGGTTATTCAGAGATTTTGCCTAGGACTTTCTTGTGGTTGCTTAAATTCTGGGGCCAAACTTTTTTCTTCTCTCTCTCTCCCTTTTTTTTTTTAATAGCCACAGACTGTATGTAGGCATCCCCGATTTCTTCTGGTGAGACAAATAAGGAGTGTAGGCAGGATGAATTTGTCATCAAAATCCCCATGCCTAACTGAGCTCTTTGAAATGCATCAGGGGACTGCCTATTGCTGCCATGAGAAATGAGAGGCAGTCCTTTCTGCATAGGCTCTCTGGGATTTGCCAGCTGAACCATACAGAAAATACACAGGCTTTGGAAAAAGAGGATGTGATAAAGGAACCAACATAACTCAGAAAATCCCAGGGGGTTGAGTGGGTGCTAAAATAATCAATGTTCATCTGTTGCTTAAGGAACAGAATGTGGAACAGTGCCTTTGCATGCCTTTTGAAATGCCTTTATTTAAATACTCTTTTTTTTTTTTCTTTTTTTTTTTCCCCAGTCTACTTAGAGTCATTCAACTTGCTGTGTAATTACTGGCACTTGTCCTGGCAGACCTGTGCAATTGTGGTTATCAGGCTTAGGAGGCAGTTCTGGGTGACGAGTCCTGCAAACACTCCATGTGCTTGTGTATGCATGTGTGCAGCAGGTATTTATCCTTAGGTGCACGCATTTGCTCAGAACCTGATTCACGTCTTTGTTTTTTGTACTCTGCAGTGTACTCACAGCTCTTAGCCAAAAACTGTTGTGTGAAATGTTTGGGATTAATTTGTGGGGATGTGCAAAACAGCTGCTCTTTGCTTTTACATATTGATACATGCTGGAAACACTAAGCTCTGTGGTTCCAGCACATCAGGACCAGTGAGCCTTGCTCTGTTATAGTGGAGTTTTCAAAACGAGATGTGTGTAATCACCCTGGCTGGATTCCCCAGGTTCCTTCTGCAGGAGAGTACGTGCACTGTCTTCAATTGCTACATGAGAAACCTGATACTCTCCTCCCCTCCTGTTTGCTGGGATTGTCCCTCACTGAGGTTTTTGGGGCTGCTTGTGTCCTGTGGTCAGCACGCTCTGTAGGTACCACTTGCATACAGATAGTCACCAACTGTCAACGTGCTTTAGAAATCCCCACATCCTCATTTGAGCAGTGTTTGAAGAAGCATTGGCTTAACTGAAATAGCTGATCTCCACACCTGCTCCTACTTCATGTTAATATATGCATGAGGTATCAAAACCGTAAATACATGCATGTATATTTATAATATAGAACAACCTTAAGACAAGAAATTTCAAAGATTTTCAGCAATTTGGGCTTTTATTTCAAATAAAAATAAATAAAAACTTTAAGTCTTTTACCAAGTGAAATTTTCCTTAGCCTGTGAGCATCTTTGATGCTCTGTGATTCACTACCCTTGTGCCTTTACTGATAAGCACAATTATAGCTAGGGTTACGAGGGAGATGAGCAGACAACAGATGGCAGAATCTTCTTGATTTTGTCTGAAAGAACGTCAGAGCTACAGAACTGATTTACTGTCATCCTGATATTGCGAGCAAGATTGGTGTTACGTTTACTCTGCTTGATAATGAAATTAGAATGAAGCAGACTGTTACACAGTCTCCTGAATTTGGACAGAAGTCTGATTCACACCTAGAAGGGTACTACCAGTAGCCCCAGTGAGGGCTTTCCTGCCTCTGTGCTTGTCCTGCAGTGAGTGCTGATGAATAACACAGCTTCATGCCTGCATATGCCAGAGGAGTTTCCTAGAGCCTAAAGTGTATCTAGGTTTTTTGTCAATATCCAGGGAATAAGCATGTTTCCAGTAACACTTCTGAACTGGTAAATTGGGAGGGGAAAGTTGTGACAATCTGCATCTTATTTGGGTCTCTGACTTGGGAAGATGTCAAAAACAGGCAGGTGCTGTAGCTCATACCATTTGTTGGCATCAGCTGTCTCTTTCCAAGCTAGGAGTTCTCCAGATTTCCCTGCAGGATGCATTGTCAGACATACCTTTTCAATACATCTTTTCACTTCCAGGCCTTCAATGTTGTCGTTCTGCAGAGCACTGAGCTCTAAAAGCCTATGCTTTTCAGGTGGGACATTCTGCCATTTAGCAATTTTTTCAGAGGAAATATGCCTGAAATAACAGGCTGAGCTGAAAAGTTTGGAATTCCACCCTGTGGAGCTCATGCTGAAAACCTGGCAAAATACTCATCCTGGTGGGGCTGCACAAGAAGCAGACTGCTCTGGATTACGTGCAAACCTTCGGGTTTTTCCTTCCATGAATATTCATGCTCTCACATTACTCTATACTATGATTCTCCCCCGTATCCTATAATCATGCTATGTGGATTATAATAAGCTTGAATGGATGAAAATTAACTCCTAAAAAGAAAGTGAGGAGTGCTGATCTCCTGAAACAGGTCCCATGTAAATATAAGGCAGTGAGGTTTATTACAGGGGAAATGGGGCGCTTCACAGGGCTTACATTCTTTTTGTTTGGTTTAAAAATAAAAAGAGCAGAGGGAAAGATGTTATGGTTCCAAAGAAAGGTGTTACTAACACCGAAGAAGGCCAGTCTCACAAAGCAAGGCATGCTGAGCACACAAGTGCTCTGTAATGTGAACTACACCAGAGCACAGATTTCTGTTTTCTTTCTAAATCAGAATGTCTATTTTGAGAACTTGAAATAAGGACACTGATTCCAAACAATCGCAGATTGCAACAATACACAGTGTTGAGCATGCTACTGAAATATTAGTTAAAACAAACAGACAAAACAACTAAGAGCAGTGTTAGTTTTCTCTATACATGAGCTACCCAGCAATAAGAGCAACAATAAAATAGCCAAAAGACTTTACCATTCAGTGACGCTGGTACTGAGAGTTGTATCTTTAGGAAGAACACGAGCACAGTAGTGACCGTGGCTCTATTGCAGCTCTTGACTGACATCTCAAGGAAAGACTTGCAATATACCAGCAGTTCACACGTTTCTCTGTACTCTGAAGAAACTCCCTTGTAGGTGTCTGGCAAACTGCAAATGGCACGCGTGCAGACCTTCTGCTAATGAATTATTGCTCTTCTGTTTCCTTGTCTCTCTCCCTCCTTTCAGGTCTGCTTTTTATAAAGTTCCTCGGACTCATCCCAAAACAAGTGATGTAATCAGACCTGCCTCCAGGTCACAGCACCCTCAGAAAGCTGATCCTTTCCTTGATCACCACAATTTTACAGAACTTCTGAGGGGATCGACTGGAGTACTTATAAAGCAAATTAAGGTGTGGAACTTAAGAAATTATGTAGCAGAGAGAGCTTATAGAATGTGTCCTTTGCTTTTGTGAACCAGACCACAGCAGAGTTTTTCTAGCCTATTTCAGAGCGGCTCCCTAAACTCCCATTTTTGGATTAGTGTGATTTTAGCATAAAGGGCCACTGTGAGAACTGGAGGGAGGGGAAGCCAGGGGAGGGGAGAGAAGTGAGGCTGTGTGGGGCACTGTTCATACTTCTGAGGGACCATGGACACTGCCCAGAAAAAAATGCCCATCTTGTCTGGAAGAATTTTTCTTTAAGCTGAAAGCTCTTGGAACTGAGAGAATACAAGAAGCAGAGAGGAATGAACATTCAGGAAGCAACTGCCCCAGATGCAGAGGCTATGTTCAGGACGTGTGGGAAGGGGTAGAGAGGAGCACAGAGTGTAGATGATGTCCTCTTCTGAAGGTGATTGAGGAGTAAACTCTTAAACTGAATACTTCATGGATAGCTGAGGAGAGGGAGGTGGGATTGGAAAGACTATCAGTTGTTCCAGTTATGTACATTATTATTGATAACTGTTATTAACTACTTACTATGTCTTAGTAACAACCTTGTAGCACATATTACTTTTGAGCATCTTTATTTATCAAATGCTGTTTAATTTTTTCGTGTTATTAGTCTTATATTTTTCCTAACATAATGCATGAAGCTGATAAAGGTAAATGAAAGTTGACTGCAGCATAGCTCACTTCTATCTAGATCCTAGGTAGGGATGTGCTGTAAAGCACAGTTCTGGCATATTGGTGCTATTTATCTATCATCCGATCCTATCCAGGCTGCAGAGAGCAGCAGCAAGTAATGAATGGCTTTTAGAAAGTATCTGCCTTTGAATACAGTTCCTCGCTCATATTTCATAATATTTTGTAAAACTTAATTGTAATATCTTATTCTGTTTGATTTAGTTCAGTTAGATACAGTTTAGAGAGAGAGGGTGTGAGTAAAAATGTTTTTAACACGTATCTTTAATTAATTGCCGTTGCCCAAAAGAGAGGAATGCATTCTGTCTACCATGTTTGTATAGAGGGGCACAATGAGTCTGCTGGGGTTGCTGTACAAGAAATTATTTTGTCACAATCCTTCCCATAATGGATGAACCACTAAGGCTGTTATCAGTAACAGTTGAAGATGACCTCGTCTACAAAATGACCTTTTGTGTAGGAGGGTTTGAACTGAGCTATCTGCCAAAATATGCCTCCAAACTATCTCCTCCTTTCTCTTTTCTGCTCGTATTCTTAAAAAATTTACTGTGCTGAAGTACTTTTTTACATCTTCCCATTTCACACCTCTCCTGGCCCAGGTGCTGCTGTCATTTGGCTTTACATCCTCCGGAGGAATTCTGGGCAGAGCTGGTGGATAGAAAGTGCTTTGCTTGCAAAATACAACCCTCCCCCCAGAGCCCCGACAAACAAACTCCAACACTTCTCCGAAACAGCTGACACTGTTTTCTCCAGCAGTCAGACAGGGTTTGCCGTTTGATTCTATCTTAATGAAATGTTAGGTCTCTGGCAGTTGGCTTTCATCTCAGCATCGATCCGAGGTGGTGACAGGACAGGGCTGTCATGGATTGGTGGGGCTCATGAGAAGGCGTATACTTGGATATACGTGCAGTTCAGCATCACTCATACTTAAAAATGAAGCCCAGAAGCATTCCAGTGGGAGCAAAAAGGAATTTCAGTGGAAGGCCCAGGAATTCATTTTGAGTCCTGCATTTGTCCTCCGGTGACAAACCACTAGCCTACAAAACCCTCTATATTCTACCTCTCTGAAATTCCCTATGTATTATTTATTTTCCATCTGCTCTCCCCAGAATATACTCATGGGATAAATATCTGCTATGGCAGACTAGCCCTGTGAAGTCGAATTCAAGGGGTTTTGCATGTGTTGAAGTATTTGCTAAATGTGCTGGGAACTGTCGAACTGGGCAGAGCAGCACTTCATGATTTAATATGAGAACATCAAGAGCTACTGCATGGCTGCTTGCAGAGATTCAAATCGATTTTTCCCAACCTTTTTTCTGTTCTGATACTCTGATTTATTCCCTTTGCTAAACTTGACCTCCTAGATTGCATTAGGGCATAGACTGACACAGTTATCAATGAAATCTTTCCCCACTAAGCTGCTAGATTTAATGTGAATGTGGACATGAGCAATCAACCTGTTACTGCTCTGATGACCAGCCTTCCTCTGCAGAATGCAGGGTGGCTTCTACAAGTTTGGAGTGGACAAGAGTTTATATCAGCAAAGCAGCAACCAACATTAAACAGTATCTTTAATCACCTCATTCAGAAGGAAAAAAGCTAAGCAGGCACTGTGTTCCTTCCCGGGGCTCTGATACACTGTAGAACTGACTTGTGCAAACACTTGAACAGTCTCAGAGGATAATCCTGCAAACCAGAATGTTCATGATTGCCTTAGTTTTCCTCCTGGAGTGCAGCTGACAGTAAAGGTCCAGGACCTGCTATAGAAAAGCTGACAACATAGTTAAAAGGACAAAGCAGAAAAGAAACAGGGAGTGGTGGGAGCGGGATAGTAGGATGAACCAAAAGCCAAATAAAGGAAAATATCACAAGTATATGCAATAGATACATTGCTCTGATGAACTCCTAAAATTGCTGCAAGCAAGGTTCATCTCCCTTTTGTGATCAGTTTCTCTCCCAGACTCCTCTCAGAAAGATCTTTCCCACTCCAGAGGTGTTCAGACAGCACAATCACCAGCGCTGCCTACTAGGTTGCGCTCTCTTTATTCCAGTTTCCAGGGCAGTCTGACATTTTTCCTGGGTGTTAGCCACTCACTTAGTTTTCATTATGTTAACTAAACATAATGGTGATTTTGATGAGGCATGCAAACACAAACTTGTGGAGGAATAAAGATGAACTACTGAGACTGTCTGTGTCAGTAGCAATTGATGACTTTGCGTTTCAAAGGACATATTTCATAAAGTGAACCCTGCTGGAAAGTACTAAATCTTAGTTCAATTTACTTCTTGAATTCACTGCACAGGGAATGAAAAGTTGCGCTTTTCAGTGGTTCATTTGTACCATCCACTGTCTCATCTGATTATTCTTTCGTTATGCTGCATGAAAAGAATGAATTACTGGCTAACTATAGGGTTAGAGTGCTTCCTTTTGCATTCCTCTACTCAGAGACCAGATGGAATAGATACACAGACCCAAAGTGGGGATTTGGGATGACTCACTGGGCTACAGTATCTTAGGGCTGTGCTAAGGGCTGGTGAAACTGGCCAAAGAGGGATTGTTCTGGTGTAAAAAAAAGTTGCAAACCAGGAATAAAGGCTGAGAAGAGGGTATTACTGGATCAAGCCCTATATAGCTGTGTTGGTGTAATACATAAAAATGTAGGCTAGTCACTTCTTCAGCTTATGACCTGGAGTAGCACCTACTGGTGGTTTATATCATGCTGTATTTATCACAAATGGTGATTTCCATTCTCACAAGCTGTTTTCAGTGCTCAGAACAAGACTATTACTATTGACTTGCATTGCAACAGAAGCCAGATCATAGAATCATTAGGGTTGGAAAAGACCTCTAAGATCATCTAGTTCAACCATCCCCACTAAACCGCGTCCCTGAGTACCACATCTACTCTTTCCTTAAGCACCTCCAGGAATGATGACTCCACCACCTCCCTGGACACCGTATTCCAATACTTCACCACTCTTTCTGAGAACAAATCCTTCCTAATATCCAATCTGAACCTGCCCTGGCACAACTTAAGGCTGTTCTCTCTGATCCTATCACTGTTACCCAGGAGAAGAGGCCATCCCCCACCTCGTCACAACCTCCTTTCAGGGAGTTGTAGAGAGCTGTAAGGTCCCCCCTGAGCTTCCTCTTCTACAGGCTAAACAATCCCAGGCCCCTCAGCTGCACCTCATAAGATGTGTTCCATACCCTTCACCTACTTTGTTGCCCTTCTCTCAACACTCTTCAAGGCCTCAATGTCTTTCTTAAAGTGAGGGACCCAAAACTGAACACAGCAGGGACGAACACTGGACACTGGTGAAGGGCAGCCTCACCAATGTACAGAGGGACAGACCCATCCTGTTGGTTGCACCATTCCTGATACAAGCCAGGATGCCATTGGCCTTCTTGGCCATCTGGGCACACTGCTGGCTCATGTTGAGAGAAAAGATGTCACAGAAAATATATTTTAACTCTCTATCCCAAGCTTTTTCTTGCATGTATAGTGGCGTTCTGGAGTTTGCACAACTGAGAGAATAAGGTTTAGGTTACCAGGTTTAACAGCAGGCCACATTTTACTGCTTTGCATGTGATTCTTTACGCTGTGTTATGTCCATTTCTCCTCAGATGCAGTCACAGCTGTCACAGGAGCAATTTACCACTTGTCCTGTCTGCCTATTTTTCAGTCTTCGTTAGTCTTCCACTTCAGCACAGCAAATGCTGCTATTCCTTGTGGTATCCACTCTGGAAACACACTCTGTTATATATAGCAATTGGTTGAAACAGATCTAGCAAGACAGAGTAGGGCTCTTGAGTTGGCAGCAATTTGAAGTTCAGACAGTAGACCAGTCTGAAAGCTCCTAACTGGCAAAAAAGAACAGTTCAGTAGAGAGGAAAGACCATAGAAATTTAACCTTCTGGTGAGTCACAGCAGAGTTCTTTAC